GAGAGTGGTGATTAAGGGGGATTAAGCAAATATGAAAGATGCACCTTGTAAGTGATCACAGTGGCTGCCATGCAGGAAATAGAGAAAGGGAAAACAGCTATTAGAAATGCTAGGGGCAATAGGCAGAACGTTGGCACTGTTCAGGTGACAACTGGACAGAAGGGACAGAACCTAGAACTATCACAGTGGTCACATGGACTGGCCTGTTGACCAGCTACATAAGGGAAATCAGAGTGGTATCAACTGTGAAGCTTGATTTGTGAGAACATGGCAGCTCTGGAGGCCTCAGAATTTGCCCAAATGAGCTGACTTAGCTCAGGCTTTTCTCAGTTTCTTCTTTCTTGGTCTCCAGGTGATCAAGAAGATCTTCGTTCCTCCATCCTTCCCACCTGTTGTTCTTTATTTCTCTCATGAAAGATGCTACAGCCACTTCCTCCCACCCCCACTATAGCTACTTGTTAATAAATGGATGTTGAATATGTAAAGATCAAAAAAGGAGGGTAGGTAACAGCTGTAATATCACCAAAGTTGTCAGACTCCAAGAAAACAGGAAGAGATGGACCCTTATGTGAAAAATATCATAAAATACAATTTTTTTTAAAAAAAGATCTGTGTGAATGGTCTCCTGTCTCCTGAATCCCCTTGTCTTTAGAGCCCAGAGAGTAAAGAGGTTGGTGCTGTGCAAACTATGTAGCAGTTCTTGTATCTTCAGGTGAAGTAACGTAAGCAGAATTTAATAAAGACTTTGTAGGTGGCGATGTACACAGGATTTTATGTAATAATTTTTAAAAGAATTTATGTTAAAATTATCACAAATATTTATGAAACAAAAAGTATAAAGAATTTTCCCATGTATTCTTTACATAGCTACTTCTCAATGTCAAGAAAATACAGATTCTTACCACTAGACTGATAGGCAACATCATGACAGATGGAGAAAAGATCCAAACTGTCTACAACTTCATCTTACTTGGATCCACATTTTACACCCTTGGTACCAGCAGTCAGGAAATCAGGAGACATAGTGCATTGGTAAAATCTGCAGTTAAGGACCTCTCCAAATTATTGAACAGTAATGATGTCAGTTTGAGAATTAAGGTGCATCCAATTCAGGCTATGGTCTTTCCAATCACTTGCTATGTGTCTGAGAGCAAATCAATGAATAAGGATGACAGAAGAAGAATTTGAGCTATGGAGATGCAGGACAGCACTGAATACCCCATGGATGGCCAAAAGAACAAACAATATATGTCTTGGAGAGGGTGGAGCCCTCTTTACTCTTTGGAAGCAAATATGATGTGGCTTTGCCTCACATACTTCGGGTATGTTGCAAGGAGAGGCTGTTCCTTGCAGAAGGACATGGTGCTTGGAAAGGTGGAGGGTTGGTGAAAGACAGGGAGATCCTCAACAAGGTGGTTTGACATGCTGACTGCCGCAATGGTCTCTAGTATATCAGGAGGTGTGAGGATGGCACAGGATAGGACAGGGTTCACATCTGTTGTTCATAGAGTCACATAGGGTGCTTGACTCGATGGCACCAAACAACAACTTTACATAGCTTCATCAGTCATGTTACTACACTTCTATCACTACTGCTCCAGAATAGAAACAAAGTTTGTTTTACTAGTTGCCATCAGGTTGATGATGGCCCATGACAGCCCTGTGAGTGTAATAGGATAACTGTGTGCATGGGGTTATCAGTGGCTGAAGTTTTAAAGTTAATTCACAGACCTTTCTTGTGAAACCCTTCAAAATTCTGGTCTTTTTGTTAGCACTTGGGCATACTCCTTATTACCTAGAGAGTGACTCCTTAGGTAAAGAAATAGAATAAGCATTTCATTTTTTTTTTTTAGCCAGTTAGTTGTCCCTCTAAATACTTAACTGTATATATTCGAAGAATATCATAGTATAATTTTTAAACTTCAAAAATTTAACATTATATACTGTTATCTATATTTATTCCCCACTGATGGCGCCACGATATTTTTTTACAACATAATTTTCCTTTTGATTGAAGATCTAGTCTGGATGCAGTATATTTGGGTTTTATGTCCATTTAGTTTGTTTGAATGGATCTTCCTTTTATTTGAATTTTAAGACCATGGTGTTTTCGGGGAGCAGGGCCCAGTTGTTCTGCATTGTGCATCTCAGGTTACTCTTGTCTAATGTCTCCTCATGCTTTGATTCATGCTTTTGATAGAAAAATAGTATAATGTCGTTTTCCCCTTGCTAATCACATCTGTCACATCAGGAGGGGCAGCATCTGTCACATCAGGAGGGGTGGCTTGTGGACACCCTTTGCTTTGTACTTTGTCACATCCAGAGGGGTGTCCTGTCGAGTCCGTATGTCTCAATACCTCACCTTATTAGCGTTAATCACTTGACTAAAAGTAGATGATAGCCTCCAAGTCTCTCCACATTACAAGTTCCCTTTTTCTCTGTATAATTCAAGTTGATTATTAATTAGTATTTTATCAAATAATTGTCGACATTAGCACGTTGATTTCCATAGTCTTCTTTAAAAGAGTAGAGTGGGTTTCCTTACTTTTTTTTTTTCATTGATTTCCTTTTATTTTTTTTTAATTGGGAAAAACATATTGAGGGGGTCAAAGGAGGTGAGGGTTGGGGGCAGAAGGGTGAGGATGGGCGAGGATGCAGTTGGAGAGCTGCACAGTTTGGTCGGTGGGGGGAGCAGGTGAAGGAAATGATAAGGGTCCAGTGGGGACCAGATGCTACAGAGGAATGACAAGCATTTTCCAATAGTAATTAAGCCAACTGTCTTATTG